GTGGTTTTTTTCCGCACCCCATTTTTCCCCCCCTTTTTTTTAGGCCCGGTTGGGTTAAATTTTTTTTTCCTTGGCCCGCGGGGGGGATTAAACGGTTTTCCTTGGAAACGCTTTTTTCCGCCAAAAAAGGGCTTCCCCTCCCCGGTGGGTCCCGGTTTTCTTCCCGGGCCCTCCCTTTTTCAGACCGAAAAAGCCGGGCCCAACCCTTTTTGTTGGAAAAGGGGGCCAGGGGATTGGGCGGGATATTTCATTCCGGAAAGGGGGCCCTGGGGGTTCCCTTCGCGGGGGTTTCCCCCCCCCTTTTTTGTTTCCCCCCCCTGGTTTTTTTTTTTTTTCCGTTCCCGGCCCCCCCTTCCTTCCCCCCCCCCTTGGGGGTTTAAGGTGTTTTTTGATCTTCCGGAGGGGGGGGGGGGTGGAAAGAAGGGAAAAAATTATTCTTTCTTAAAAATCCCCGTTTCCCCCCAAGGGGGGGGGGGGGGGGGGGGCGATACACGGGCCCCGTCTCTGAACGCAAGAAATAAAATGTTTTTTTTGCGCGGGGGTAGGCTGCGCTGCTTCGTTTTGGCGACTATGTAGCCCTGGTTTTGTTTGAGACCCACCCTTCGTGTTGGTGGTCGATAGGTTGTGTGCGGCGTCCTTGAGTGGGGGTTGGCTTTGGAAGGAGGCAGCGACTCGGTATTTGCGGCGTTTTTTTGTATTGTACATCCGGCAAAACCATGGAACAATAATCCGCCCATGGATAGAGGTGCCCGGGCTCTTGACACACGTTGTTCATATTTTTTCACAGTTGTTTAGGCACTGCTGGGTGGGATTTGTGTGTTGTGTCATTCTTCCGCCCGTGTAAATAGCGAAAGAAACACGCCCGAGCGCCGTGGCTGGTTTGTGCGTGTTTGGCCCCCCCGTACGTTGTTCGACTTGTTTTTCCGCAGCAGGCGTGTTGGTGAAGTGGCGACTCTGTGCTTGGTGTTACGGGTTGTGTTATGGGTTGTTTTATGTAGTCCTCGTGCCCTCGTTCCGCTAGACAAGTCCACCCCTTTTTTTTTTTCTGGAGGTGTTGGGCTGGTGATCAGCATGTATTGATCGATTTTTTTCGTTTTGTTCGGCCACAGGACGCGGCCATGGCTGGGTATCCAGTCCGCGTGCTGGTGTCTCCGTCTGTCAAGCGTATGCATCTGATACTGCGTCAAGACTTGGAAACCCGGGATGTTGTGTCAGATGGGAGATAGTAGGGTGTGCAGGGTGCGCGTTTGGTTCACGGTGGTCGTGCCAGTCTTGGCATCAGAAGGAAGCAGTTGCTGTAGTTTTAGTTGAGATTCGCTCGTAGTGTATGTTGGCCAATTTGTTTTGAAGCCCTCTGCAGTCGCCCCGCATTCCAACTAACAATACCGCTGAACAGAAGCGAAAAATACGGCTGATCCGTTGTACACAATGTTGAATCCTGGAGTAAATGAAATATGCACATACATGACCTCGTGTTACTGGGGGATATACATGTCGTCCGCTGTACGTCCCTGCTTCGATATGTCTCCCGTTTTTGCTTGGCTGCTGACTCTGTGTGGCGCGCAACCCAGCCTCACACAAACGGATGACTGGGAAGCGTATGAGAAGTGCTGCCATGCAATCCGTGCGCAGCGCTTGAACGCGCCGCTTTTTTTAGCTTGTGGCGTTCGCAGTGCAAATATTTGTAGTTCAAGCTACAAGAAACCATCTCTTTAGCACGGTTGGGGGACGAAGCTGTGCGTCTTTCTGGCGTGCTTCGCTCCTCAGCGGCCATGTGTCGGCTTCAAGCTTCCCTTCAGGAAAGACGAAGCAGCGAACGGGACCCTCTCTTCCCCGAAGCAGGAGCAGCGTCCTAAGGCAAGGGCATTGTGACACTTTGGGGATACATGTAGACTAGTGTTGCTTAGATGGATCATTTTGTTTCTCGTCGATCGCGGCCAAGCAGAAACGGCAGCGCAGCTCGTACTTTCAATGCACGCACACGTTCGTATTTTTTTTCCCCCGATGGAGGAGAGAAAGACACCGACACGAAAGAAACCCGCTTGCTTGTACTCTGACAGCGCGAAGTCTAGATTTACCTCCAGCCAAGTACATTTCAGCAAGCGCTCTGAAAGTTCACGCCCACCTACATATTGCAGATTTTCCTGCTGCCAACGCGAGGGACTGTACAGAAGTAGTGCCGTTGTTTTGTTTGTAGTTTCGGGGACTATTTATCTAATTGATGAAAATTATATTTTTTCTCGAGGCTCTCCTTAGATTGCAGTATTGATGAGTCTTCCGCTGGTCACCAATTATTCAATAGTAGCAACAAGGGAGGGCGTCGGGGGGACACTTTGCTTTTTTGGTGCGAGGGCACTTTCATATACACCGTGCATCCTTTTCGGGGGGGGCGCTCCTTCTAAACTTGGTACACCGCTACTGGCTTGGGGGTCTATCACCCCAGTTACGATTGTTGAAAACATCAACATGTCCCGGTTTAGAGACACCGAAATAATAGTAGAGCATGTGCAACGACATTGATTCGTGAACCCCTCCCCAACCCACGCCACCTGGTCTCTCTACCGACACATGTGCATGTATACCAGCATGTGCATGCATACCATCACACTCCACCTCCGGCACCATTGATAATTGAGCACAGGCAGCAGCAATGTTCCCATGGCCGCGTGACGCAAAGCTAAGAAATAAGCAGGCGGCTGAGCGTAGCTCTACCTTATATTAGGGAAAGGAGGAGGCTGTGGAATGTTGTCCGAGTTACAAGGTAGTGTAACAAGGCAGTAGCTCAATAACCGTTTCCAGATGCTCGACGCTTGTTTCGGGTGTGCTTGGGGTGCGGGGGCGAGCTCAAGCTGACCTGTGTCAGTCGGTGTTCGTACACGAATATCCTCAGGTAGTCTGACGTTCAAGACGTGTAGTGTCCAATATGGTGCACATGCACGCGAGCAAAGTAGTTCTTGCCATTTGTTTGCCGAGAAAAGCCTCGGGACACAAAATTGCACCCCAGTAACCTGCTTACAGACACAGGAAGGTTTGTTCGTCGAAGCAGATAGAATAAACTGGTGTTTATTTTGTAAGAGTCGAATTAGAATTTGGCTTCATTTTCTACCGGAAACCCAGGGTCACGGTGTTTGGAATTATTAGTCTGGTAGTTGGGGGTGTCATTCCGTGATCGAGTCCACGCAGGGGCTGTAGCAAAGTCGGGTAACGTGTGACAGCTACAGAGCGCGTGAAGCAACGGAAGGACAGCAGCAGCCGCCTAACGCAGTAGCGGCGGCAGTTTAGAAAATCCCGCCCTCCCATCCCTTTTCTTTCGAAGGTGGGGGCATAAGTTCGGGAATATTCGGTATCTAGTCAGGTGTTGTAGAATGGTGTGTACCATTTGAGGACTTGGTCAGTTTTGGGACTCCTGCGTTTGCAGTCGTAGTCCCCCGGCTAGTATTTGTGGGGAGAGAGATGGATTTGTAAGAGTTGACGCCGGCCTTTGCAGCTAACGCGGCCGGAGAGACGATGAGCGTTTCGTGCGTCTCTCTCCCCAACACGTAGCCTAGAAACCGAAGAAATAATGAAGCAATTCGAAAGAAAACAAAATAAACATACATTATCGTCGGAGTTTCCCCCCGGCTAGGGATTTTTCTTGGTTGTTGACCCCAAACCACCCGGGGAGGAAATTGTTCCTCGGGAGAGGGGAGGGTTCCTCCTGTCTTTCTTCCCCGAATACGATCTACCCCCGGGGACAATTCCGGAAGGGTGAGGGGTTTCTTCTTGTAAGGGGGGAAGAACCCCCCAACGATTAAGGTAATGCGAGACGAAACGAGAGCACCCTATCCAACAATGATGATGCAATATCGGCGACATGCCCCCCAATTGAACGTGGCCAATAAACTCTCGTTCGAAACGCCGAGTTGTAGATGGTGTGTTCCCGTCATATTCATGCTTTCAGTAGTGTCTTTCGATGCCAAGAAACGACTCCAACAGAGGAAAATACAAACGGCCAGGGTTGAAACTCGTGTGTTTGAAAATAAGCACCCCGGGAGGAAAGAACAGGTCGATTTTGTTTTTTCCGGAACAGGACCAATCCCGGGCGACACAATCTCCGATTTCCTGCTTTTCGGCCAAAAAGGTGATCGGGGAGCACTCATCATTATTCACGCCTTAGATCATGAACCATACACCACGCGCGCTCGAGAGGATGGGACGTTGTTCCCGCAGGACCGATCGCTGATGGCCAATCGTTCCCTCCTACTTTGGGCACAGGTGGCAAACAAAGCTTTTCCCCTATCCTCTCTATACTACTGCTGACCTGCCTACGCCGTTCCTCGTGCCCCAGTGTGGCTACCGTCTGCTTTCCATGCGTCACTTCTCTCTATAGCGCCCTTCAATTTTCCCCAGCCCAATCATAGCATGTATATTTCTCGCTTGTTTTCGTACAACGGGCATTCCGCGACTACAACAACCAGTTATATTTTTACTCGAGATCCAAGCCGCGTCCAAAATTGAAGTCTTCGCCGTCTGCCTTCCTAGACTCTATCAATCTCGGTCCATTTTCTCGAAGACCAATTTCCCCAGTCATGCGGTTTACCTTCAACTTTACAAGGCCATGATTGGGCGGGGGGGGAGGGGGGGGGCGAGATTCCGACTGTTTCCCGCCGCTCCTTCAAATATCAAATCGCCGAAGGTGTGGTAACCGACACGGGTCGGCCTTCGGGGCTTCAACGCATCGAGGTGTAGCCCCCTCGCTGAAATACTAGAGATGATGCAAGACGGATGGATGTGAATACCTTCGTCGCGTACTCTTGTGTTGTGTGGGGAGACAGGCGCGGCATATACGGACAACTCGACGATTTCGTGGCGTGCAGGCTCGCTGCTATTATTGGCGGACTTGTTGTTGTGGCTGAAACCGCCGAGCTGTCAACAGTATACAAAAAAAAAAACAAGAGGTGGTTACGATTCCACTGGGATAGACGGGGTGGGCAGCAGTTTTTATCCCTCTCCACCTCACGAGAACCCCCCCTGAATCCCCCTGCCCCCGCATCGAGGTTGGGTTGTCGTCGCTTGGTAACGACGTTGTACAACAAGCCGATCACTTCGTGAGCTCGACAACCAAGTTACCGCTGTTTTTTGCCTTTGTTTTTATTTATTGCGGCGACGATGATGGTAGCCGAGTAGATTATGTTGTGCGGGGTCGAGAACCCTCACTCCGCGCAAAGGGGGGGATCGCACCACGTTGTGTGTAGTTGATCAAGCACCCTCGAGGCAGCTACATCGTGCTTATAACTGTCCCTGGAGGTGAAAGCACCAGAAAATGAATGAATTACGTCATATGCAGCTGTCATCCGTACGCAAGGAAGTAAGCACAAGATGCCGAACACCCTTAGCAGGATGCAGCGCACCCTCCATACGACTCGAGCAATACCTCACGGTACTTGGCGCTTCGTGAAGTGAGAACCTGGTCCGATGGGAACCGGCGTGCTCCGTCCCAGCTTTGTAGGGATGCGAGTTCAATGGCCTAACGACTACGGCATGCACGACTAAGAGTACACCTCCTCCCCCCCCCCCCCCCGCTCACTCTCGACAGCCCCCTCCCTCGCGGTAGATTGGCTCCG